GAGTGCAATAACTGACCGGTAAATGCCGGTAGTGGCAGAGAACACCCTTACCACCGCTGTATTGCTTCGGATGTCGGATCTAGGAGTCGGTCGGTGTACTAGGATCAGGATCAGGAGCAAAAAGCGAGAATTATTCTCTTCGGAGCGCTTTTATACTAATTGTTGCTCCCGCTCGTATTGTTCCGGAATCATTCGGTGACTCTCGGCGTGGAACAATACGAGCGAGAGCTGCGGCGCTCGGCGTCGTTCGGCGACATTCGGTTTTCGCGGACTTGCGAGTTCGCGCGGCCTGTAATTATGTTTGTTCTTCTTACAATATTTCGAGCTCACCGCGCTCTCATCGCCTACGGTGACCGGGGGGTCACCGTAGCGGCATCCGGCGAGTTGGCATTGCCTGGAACGATGCCTTTCTGGGGGTGCATCGTTACATGTTTAAAAAATAAAACATGAGATTTCTTTTTTTTAATACGTTTCTAGAATTTCTTTTCCCTTCCCTTGCTTTGTAACGTATGAACATATGTATAGACGTATGTATGTATAAACGTATGTATAAACGTGTGTATAAACGTATGTATAAACGTATGTACATATAAACGTATGTACGTATAAACGTATGTACTTATAAAAGTATATATATAAAAACGTATATATGAACGTATGTATGAACGTATGTACGCATAAACGTATGTATGAACGTATGTAAGTATGTATGTATGTATGTATAAACGTATGTACGTATAAATGCATGTACGTATGAACGCATGTACGTATAAACGTATGTATAAACGTATGTATAAACGTATGTATAAACTTATGACAAAGAAAAGACGTAGAATGACATGATAAAACATGTGTGTGAAGTTAGCCCACCTTTTTTTGAAAATTAAAATTTTGACAATTGTTCTAGATTGTTCTGAGTTTTTTCTACATTGTTCCAAAGCGATATCATCTTATTCCAAATCGTTCTCCAATAAAAGGAGAAAACGAATTTTTCTTGCTAGCCCCCCTTTTTTGGAATATCAAACAATTTTTTTTTGCTACAGATTGTTCTAGTTGTTCTAAACATTGTTCCAAAAGAATAATTCCATATGACTAACAGAAATGGCAGAAAACAAAAAAACATTTTCTTATCCGGCACCACTTTTCTTAATATTCGAAAAATTCATTATCGCGATAAATTGTTCTAGTTGTTCCAAACATTGTTCCAAAAGGACAATTCCGTAAATCAATCAGAAAACGAGAAAAATAAACGTTTTTCAACAAGCAAAGGCTCCGACAAAAAGAAAAGGTACAATCTCCTTATCCCAACGCAGAATTTTATATTTTCAGTTGTTCTAGTCCTAAGAAACATGATTCTGCATTATCCAACGCTACTGGTTCTCCCAAAAATCGAAAAAAATCCGTATTTTTGCATCCACCATCAAGAGTAAAGGCACGTTTCTTCTCTTGTTCCAGTCGAGAACTTTATGTTCTGAGTTGTTCTAGTCCTGAGAAACATAGTTCTGCAATATGAATCATCCAATGCTACTGGTTCTCCCAAAAATCGAAAAAAATCCATATGTTTGCTTCCACCATCAAGAGTAAACGCGCGCTTCCTCTCTTGTTCCAGTCGAGAACTTTTTGTTCTGAGTTGTTCTAGTCCTGAGAAACATAATTCTGCTATATGAATCATCCAACGCTACTGGTTCTCCCAAAAATCGAAAAAAATCCATATGTTTGCTTCCACCATCAAGAGTAAACGCGCGCTTCCTCTCTTGTTCCAGGCGAGAACTTGTTGTTCTGAGTTGTTCTAGTCCTGAGATACATAGTTCTGCAATATGAATCATCCAACACTACTGGTTCTCCCAAAAATCGAAAAAAATTCGATTTTTGGGAGAACCAGTAGTGTTGGATGATTCATATTGCAGAACTATGTATCTCAGGACTAGAACAACTCAGAACAACAAGTTCTCGCCTGGAACAAGAGAGGAAGCGCGCGTTTACTCTTGATGGTGGAAGCAAACATATGGATTTTTTTCGATTTTTGGGAGAACCAGTAGCGTTGGATGATTAATATTGCAGAACTATGTTTCTCAGGACTAGAACAACTCAGAACAAAAAGTTCTCGCCTGGAACAAAGAGAGGAAGCGCGCGTTTACTCTTGATGGTGGATGCAAAAATATGGATTTTTTTCGATTTTTGGGAGAACCAGTAGCGTTGGATGATTCATATAGCAGAATTATGTTTCTCAGGACTAGAACAACTCAGAACAAAAAGTTCTCGACTGGAACAAGAGAGGAAGCGCGCGTTTACTCTTGATGCAAAGGTACGGATTTTTTTCGATTTTTGGGAGAACCAGTAGCATTGGATGATTCATATTGCAGAACTATGTTTCTCAGGACTAGAACAACTCAGAACAA